ATGGCCATGACCATGGCCATAGCTACAATGGTGATATTTTCTAGAGAGAGAGAGAGATGAGAAAGAAGAAAAGTTTTGAAAAAATGATCAAGAGAAAAGTTAATACAAATTGAAAAAATTAATGAGTAATAAATATCATAACAATTAAAGATTTAGAAAGTGTTTGAGATGATTTAAATAGGAATTTTTACCAGCTAGTAATAGGGGCAAAATCAGGATAAAAAAAAAATATTACAAGACTTCTTGGTGCATAAGATAGAAACTTAACACCTAATGGATAATAAATTCAATTATTGAGACCGGTTAGTAAAAATCCTATAAAACTACACAAAACAAGCGTAAGATTGGCTGGCTCGTTGCAGTTTATCCATACCATTAACTAAAATAAATCAAAATGAGCTAATGAGAACCATTAAAAATGAACCAAGTGTTGTACCAAAATAAAATGACAAACTTCTGTCCACTAATTAGATTGGAAGGTTTAGTTTAGTGCTTTTTGGGCCTATTTTAGGTCAATTTCTGTGATTGAACCGTTCAAATTTAGCTGAAACTACCCAATGTCACTCTCTCTCTCCCCTAGCACAACTTAAGGCCCCATCTCGTTTGTAATTTTTTAGTTAAAATAGTTTTAAGGTTTAAAAAAAAATCAAAATAAAAAATTAAAATATCACATTATACAAATTAATCAATTTTTTTTTTCTTACAACTATATATTCAATTAAAAAAATAATTTGGGATACAAGATTTTCAACATTTGTTGGATTGGAGTGCAAAAGGTTGTGTGAAAATGTGATTAGTATAAATTGACCAAGGAAAGTGCAATGAAATTTCCTTCTCTTAAAGAGCTGCAACAAAATCCAAAGAAAAATGTTCTCATATGTGTCACCGTCACATCGTTTTCTACTAGAATTCACAAAGAAAAAAAAACAAAAGGAAATGTTATGTACTGTCTATATCCATTAATTGTGTACTTGACCTTACAAGAGAATATAATGAAGAAACAGCCACAAATCCACACATGGCTTTCAATGCAGTCCATTCCATTTCATTATCCTCAAAATGTGTATCACAGAGTATTTCTCACAGTACTTTCATAGTAAAGGAAAATATAAATGGTTTGGATCTCCGTACTTTTTTCTCAATCTTCCAAACTCATGAGAAAATGTTGTCTAGTGGTCATGTTAATTCAATGGACTATCAATAAGAAGAAAAAAATGTAAAAAAATTAAAACTATAATAACTTTTATACATTATGTACAATTTTTATATATTTTAATGTATTTTTTATACATCTATCAATGTTATTTACTGTGCATTTTAATAACTTTTATACATTATATACAATTTTTATATATTTTTTTACACATTTATCAATGTTATTGACTGCGCAAAGGACTGGCATTAACATTTTCTTTGTATCATAGATGCACCGTGTTGTTAGAGTAATAGTACTATTTGCAAAAAAAAGCATTTTCCATAGAAACTACCACATAATAGAGATAAGGATGCCAACACGCTTGTGGCAAGTCAGAGTAATAGTACTATTTGCAAAAAAAACATTTTCCATAGAAACTACCACATGATAGAGATAAGGGAAGCCAACACCCTTGTGGCAAGTTGATTTGTAATTGCAGTAAGGAAAATGTCAAGGGTTCAAGCTGATAAACCAGTAGAGATCTCTTTAAGTAGTACATTTTAGTATACTATTTTTATTAACAAACTAACAAATCTAATTTCCTGCAATGTTGACCACAAAAAAAAAACAAACAAACAAACAAACAAACAGAGCTAAGGGATGGGACACCTTGTCTATCTTTTGTGTAAGTTTTTGTTGAAAATTAATTTTATGTGCAACTAGTATCGTATACTTGTTATACAAAATACTTTTTCTTGAGTGTAGGTCACAATACTATTTTTATTAACAAACTAACAAATCTAATTTCCTACAATGTTGACCACAAAAAAAACAAAAAAAAACAAGGAAAATATTTGAGGGCCCTAATTTCTGTGGCTCAAATGGCTCAAATTTGCCAAAACGATGTCGTTTTGGCAAATTTGATGTTGTTTTGTACTCAAAACGACGTCGTTTTGACAAATTCGAGCCATTTGAGCCACAAAAATTAGGGTCCTCTATCATTGTTGAAAAAACAAAAACAAACAAACAAACAAACAGAGCTAAGGGATGGGACACCTTGTCTATCTTTTGTGTAAGTTTTTGTTGAAAATTAATTTTATGTGCAACTAGTATCGTATACTTGTTATACAAAATACTTTTTCTTGAGTGTAGGTCACATCCTTATCTCAATTCACCTCACCCATTGTCTCTCTTTTGTTCAAATTTATGTGAAAATTTTATGTGCAAGTTTAGTAGATAGTTGTAAGAGTAACGGTGTCAAAAAAATGTATCTCTATCAATAATAAAGTCATATATAGACTAATATCAAAAAATACTGATCTATATCAATAAATATTAATAGTGACAGTTCAAAATTTCAACATATATATCAGCCGATATTTGGAATATTGGTAGAAACCTACCTCAAAATCATCCCTTGCGACACATGAAAATGAAATTTATGTGATTAATCTTAAAATTATGGTTACATTCACAATTACTATGACTCACTATAATTTAAAACGTTACAAACTAGAGAAACAAAAATAGTCACCCCACCTACATATATTAGGCTTACAAGTTACAAATACACAAAATACAAAAATATCCTTATACCAAAACTGACTTGTCAATTTGATATCCACAATCGAGTCGTTAATGTCTAGTAATTGTCAAGATTTACACTACTCTTCAGTAAGCAACAAAACATAACTATGAAAAGGTTCCTAAAACCATTGATTTGTTCATCACTTTTAAAGTCAGAAGAAGAGTGCACCATCGTTGATCTCCTTATTATCTGAGAGTTGATGCCAACAATTTTTCAAGGAAGATGAACATAGGATACTTAACCATTACTTGCCAAAATATCTACTGTTTATTTGATTCACCAAAAATGAATACTTCAAAATTCAACCCTATTCATTTTAGGGTTTTTGGACTGACACCCAAGTTTCACCACTATTTTAAGGGTGAGGATCCTCCACAACATTTTATTTTATTTTATTTTTTGTCCAGTTATCATTCATTACTTGATCTAAATGCAATAAAATATAATAATTAGTCGTTAAATCATGACTTTTGGATCATGTGCTGGATAATGACAAGATGAAAGATGATCCAATTCTTTACTTGCAATTAGTGAACAGTTATTACTCTTGTCCATAGTTTCCATTTCGTGAAAAATCATTACGTAATTTTGGAGTATTAGAGTTTTTATTGATAAATAATTTTGGAGTATTAGATAGATCTGCATTATATACATTATGCTTTCAATAAATGACGCGACAATCTCATGGCCTTGTGGTTTAATATTGTTAGGTTTTTATTCTTAGCAATTTCGTTTGACAAAACTCTTTTCAGTTGTATTTTTATGCGCTCTTTTATTTCAATAAGATTATGAATACTTAGATGCGAATCCAATCTGAATTGTGCCTTGCAGAGAAGTTTCAGAAGATAATTTTTTCATGTTTGCCACTTCGCTAACTATGACGGGGATCGAGCTGCCCAGTCAGCTTGCGGGAGTCCAAGGGGCAACACCCCTTGGCGGGTCCAAGGCAGCGCCACGGCGGGGTTGAGGGGCAGCGCCCCAAAACAAAATGTAAAAATGCATTCGAAGTTGTTTGTCCGCTCGAGCGGAGAATCCTTGGTTCCAAAAGTTTGATTGCCTGCAAAAATACTGGGAGATGTTTTTTCCCGCTCAAGCAGAATTTCCTGCGCTCGAGCATCGGTCCGCTCGAGCGGCCATTCCGGCACTAGAGCGGAGATCGTAGAACAGATTGCTATAAATATGTGTTTCAGTCAGATTTTAGGGTTAACGCTTCTAGATCTTCTTCTTGGATATTAGGGTTTATATCTTGGGCTATGTTACTAGTTTTCTTTGATGTTTAATTGAGTATTCAACTCATGGTTTAAGAAGTATACATCAAAAGATTGTTCGTTTATTAAATACAAAAGAAAGTATTGTTCTTTAGTAGATTCTGAAGAATTCGAGCCTGAAACTTTGGTGGATTCTGGAGTAGCTCATCATCGTGATTCGACATCGGCGTTGTGGATTCAACGTTGGGCAAGACAATTCCAAGGTGAAGACGGGGCTAGAAGGGATATATAGGGGTTGGTTCAATTTGGGCGTGGATTCGCTAAGTAATTGAGAGTATACCTGTGTAATTTCTTTATGTCTTTTAGTAGATTATTTTGTGGCTTTTGCCCATAGTTTTTTATTACAATTGGAGGCACTCCAATTGTGATTTTTTTACGTAAAGTCGGTGTGTTGATTTGTCTTTGATTGTTTAATTGAGATTGTTATTTATTGATTAAAATTGATACATAATCCCAAATCAATATTTAGGAGATTTCAAGATTTTTCAAATATCATGGAAACAACACTTGGGTACTTGCAAAAGAGAAATTAGGAGTTCAACTTCTCTATGAGCTAATCTAACAACTAACAAAAAATAAATAAATAAACTCACCTAATAAAAATACATTTTTGTTTCTCAGCAACAGGTTATATATGAACATCTTATAACCATTTTTTTTGTTTTTTTAATGAATTCACTTAAAAGGTGAAAAAGAACTGATGAAAATAGACTATGTTTTTAGATAGGTACCATAAAATAAAAATATTACAATTATCATATTAATTTAATTTTGTTAATAAATTATATATACAAAAAAAACTTTACGAAAAGAATAATTTAAATTATCAAAATAGACACCTCAAATTCTCCCAAGCTTAAATATGAACACAAGAGAAACTCAACCTTAGCAGCCCTTTAATTACTGTCACTGTAATCCTCATAGTGTGGTTTTATTGTAATTCTCCCCCTAAACCTGGTTTATTATATGTATACACAGACCTAAAAAACACTCCTTTGATCCCATGCAACTTCCAGGAAGGAGAACTTTCCCCCAGTTCAAAGTTAAAACTCAGAGAGAGAGAGAGAGAGAGATGAAGCTCATATCAACCATAATAATTCTCTCTTTATATATCTCTCTACCCCTTAAGTTGATCTCTCATTGTCTAATCTCTCTCTCTCTCTCTCTCTCTCCCTCTCTCATAATAACCCTTTAGAGATGTCATTACTCTCCACAATGGAATTAGCAACTGATGATCCATTTCTCTTTGAAGATTATTTTCCATCGATGATTGAGCGGTTGGGTGAGGACGGGTTCATGGGGGAGCTGTGTAATGGGTTCCGGCTGTTGATGGACGTGGAAAAGGGACTCATAACGTTTGAGAGCTTGAAGAGAAACACTCTTCTGCTAGGTCTGCAGGACATGAGAGACGATGAACTCGTATGCATGTTGACAGAAGGAGATTTGGATGGTGATGGAGCTCTCAATCAGATGGAGTTTTGCATTCTCATGTTCAGATTGAGTCCTGGTTTGATGGATGGATCCAAGCGATGGATGGAAGAGATGGGCGTAAATTAATTTGTTTGGTTTGGTTTTCAGTATGTGTGTCTTAAAAAGTTTTAAAAATTAATTTAGTGAAAAAACATGTTTTTGAATTTTTAAAAATTATTTTCCCACAAAAATCAAATAATAATAATAATGAATGTTTTAAATTTTTCATTATTTTGTCACTAAATTAATTTTTAGTACTTTTTTAAAAAAATAGATTCTGAAAATAAAACTAGATAAATCTCTTGTCTACTTTCATGATTTTTATCTAATAAGAATGTCCTTATTGGATTTTGTAACGCCCTAAAACTTTTCTTTATATGCAACGAATTTCAATAAAGATGGATGTATTTATTTATTTAGATGTCTTTTTAGCTACGAATTAATAGCGTTCATAAACCATATATTGGTCCGATTTTAAGTTAGATCTGAGACCGAACTAATTTTTATGATTTTAGAACCTTTGAAACTAGATTTGAATCATTTAAGTTATATAACCAAACTATAGAAATCAATTTGGTTTAGTTTCATTTTATGATTTTTCTATTTTAAAAAAAATTCTAATTATCAATCAATTAAAGTTCAATTAATTCTAACAAAACATAGCAACAACTTGGATTTAATTGATTAGAACATAAATTTGGTTGTATAAATTGAGGACAATAATACTCGTAAAATGTAAATTTAAACTAAAATAATTATGTGTGTGCTTATAAAGAAATCTTAGTTATATAAATTTGATTTTTATGTTTTATTTTTTTTTTTGTACATGCCTACAAAGAATAGCCATTGCAATTTCAGATTTTCCTAGAAGTCATTAAGCACGAAATTTAGTTGCAGGCAATGTTGGAATCATTTTCAGGAGTTTCAAAACTTTTACAATTTTAATTGTTTAATTTAATTAAGTATTAGTTTCAATTGTTTAATTCAAATTATTATCGAGCAATTATAATTCAGTTTGGAGTTACAAATTTTAACACCTGTTTTTTTTTTGGCCTAATTGAAGTAAGTATTATTGGATTGTCACAATGTTTTATTGGTCATTATATTTGTGTTGTTACATACTTGTATATAAGATTATTATTTTGTTACTCATGTTATATATTGCATTTTGAAGAACTACATATAAAAGGCTTTATATGGCCTGTTTGAGAAGAAACTTACAAATATAACATTTTAATTCTTTCATAATATGTGATCTAACTTCAATTGGGACCGTCCACGTTCGGAAATCGGAAGCGCCATTTTGGGGCGTGAGACACATAGTTAGATCACGTATTAGTTTTTCATAATATGTGATCTAACCATACGTCTAATTATGTATATATATATTTTTTGTTTGATATTCATTCTTTATTGTATAAAATTTATAAAGTAGCATTGTTGTAACATGGGATGAGGTTATGATCCACAATGGTCTTTTAGAATGAATAAAACTATTTTCTTATTTTTGTCTTCTGCTAAAACAAATCAATTTGAAATTAAACATTTATCTTGTGTTCAAGACCTATATTTATAGACAGATTAATTTGTGGAGGAAAAAAATGTGGGGATTCATTATTAAAAAAAATTATAAAGAGGAGAAAAATTAACTTCTTTTTGATTAATTATTTCACAAATTCATGATGCAGTGTTAAGGAATTAAATTGAATTTTGTCACCTCTCCATTAAATAAAGTATTTATGAAAGTTGCAATATTTTGTTGGTGCATTTACTCTAAAATCTGTACTAAGATCATCATTTCATAACGTAGGTATTACAAGTCACCAGTGGTATTCTAATTTTGTGAATTTTTCATGACCTACAACATTTACATATAAATAGAAAAGAATTAGCTCATCGTGATACTATTGCACTTCCTTTCTTTATTGATATATTTGTTCTATATCTTGTTCTTTACTATTACATCAATAAAAAAAAAAATTTGCCGATCAAAAAAACAAAAAATAGAAAAGAAACAATGCATACATGTAATGTAAGTAAGAATGTTGTTTACCTCCAAAACAATGATAATAACTTGGGATAGATTGCTCGCTACTAATATTCCATGTATTCTCTTATAGCATATTTGGTGGGCGTTTGTTTTTTTTGTTTTTTTTTTTTTTAGAAATTTAGTCAAAATCTCTCCATTAAACTCTTATTTGGTGAAAATGACAATCCAATTTATTTTGCTTCATAAACTTCTTAAGGAAAAAACACATAATTGAATAAAGACAAAATAAAATATCTTTTTTTTTTTCTTTTCTTAGGCAATATTGTCAGAGTAATATATTACTGTCAAATAGAGTAAGATGTTAATGTGATAAAGAATAACATGTTACTGTCAAGCAAAATAATTGTTAAACAAAGTAACATGTTACCGTTTATATCAATTTCGATAGTAATAACTTCTTTTTTTTAAGAATTTCATAGTCAACATAAATCTAATTTGATAGAACCTGATGAGAAAATTCTAAAAATACTAATTTTATTAAAAACTGATATTTATATCAAAAACTATACTATTATTTTAAAATTTAATATTTTCATAATAATAGTATGGGTTAAATTTTTCAAGAGAGACTTTTTGTACTTGTCCTAAATACATTAAAATTTTATTGTAGGGAGATTTTAACCAAATTCCCTCTTTTTTTCCCCTACTATAATTCTCTGCTAATCAATAGTCGTCTTAAAAGTTTTTTTTGTTTTTTTTTTTTTTGTGTGTGGTCTGTCTAAACATTAGAAATTTAATGCACTATTCAGTTTTTTTTTTTTAAGTTTTCTTTTATGGTAGTAGCTCTGTGCTGTATTCTAGTTCTACCTATTAAGAATATCCCCGACAATACTCTCTGATTTTTATTTTTTAAAAAGTTACCTAAAAAATTGGGTTTTCAATTTTGGAGTGAGGGTCAAGCGTGTTCTATTCTCTTTCTTCTTATTTAAATAATCTTTCTCAATAACATGTTACTGTTTATATCAATTTCGATGGTAATAACTTCTTCTTTTTTTTAAGAATTTCATAGTCAACATAAATCTAATTTGATAGAACCTGATGAGAAAATTTTAAAAATACTAATTTTATTAAAAATTGACATTTACATCAAAAGCTATATTATTTTAAATTTTAATATTTTAATAATAATAATATGTGTTAAATTTTTCAAGAGAGACTTTCTATACTTATCCTAAGGAGATTTTAACCAAATTCCCTCTTTTTTTTCCCTACTAATTCTCTGCTAATCAATAGCCGTCTTAAAAGTTTTTTTTATTTTTTTTTTGTGTGTGGTCTGTCTAAACATTAGAAATTTAATGCACCATTCAGTTTTTTTTTTTTTAAGTTTTCTTTTATGGTAGTAGCTCTATGCGGTATTCTAGTTCAACCTATTAAGAATATCCCCAACAATACTCTCTGATTTTTATTTTTTAAAAAGTTACCTAAGAAAAGTGGATTTTCAATTTTGGAGTGAGAGTCAAGCGTGTTCTATGTTCTCTCTTTTCTTATTTAAATAATCTTTCTCTATCCCTGCCTCCACTACCCATCTCCTTAGCTCAGCCCCTCCACCACAGTTTCCATAGCAGGCCCCACCTCCACTGAAGCCCTCTCCACCCAGCCTCTCCTACACTGCAAATCCCCGCCTCTCTGCCACCGCATGCCTCCACAGAAAAACCCCAACCCCTTTCTCCACCTCAGCCTTCATACATACGCACACAAACGGATATATATATATATATATATATGACTTAAATCTTGGTCCATTGGGCTAAGTCCGCACACTAAGGCCTTGTTTGGAAACAGGTTAATTTAGTAACTTTTTGACTATTTGACTAAAAATATGAGTTAAAAAAAATTAGTATGTTTAAAATGACTTTTTAATTTTTTACGAAAAGATGTGCAAAAAATAGAAAAAAAAGAGAATCTTTGACTTTTTTGTATGAATTGTTGGCTTTTGACTTTTTTAAGTAACTTTTTGACTATATCAGCATGTTGCCAAACGAGGCCTAACTGTGGGGATGGCCTGTTGATCCCTGAAGTGCTGCCTCATTGTCTCGGCCACCTACCTGTGAGTCCATCGAAGGTTTTGTCCAACAGTCTAGCCCGACCCAGTTGGAAAAAACAGCCTGCTGGGCTTAGGCCAAGTTTGGCATGATTGAAAAAAGATAAAAAGTCAAAAAGTCACTATCCTACTTAAGTCACATCATCTTATTTAAATCACATCACATCTTTAACACATCACTTCAAACCCAACCCAAACCCAACCCATATTTCATAAAAAGTCAAAAAGTGCACTTATTTAGTCTTCCCAAACTAGGCCTTAGTCCGCTAAGCGAGCTTGGATACCATTTTTGTTACCCGGGACCAACCCTTGAGATCTACTAATCGTAAACTCAGTAGTCTTTGTGTTGAATTCCTATTGATGACTCTTTAACTTGATAGTTACCTGTAAGGTTGAATGGGTTGGACCTTAATCTTTGCTCTCACCATTTGACAGCAAAGAGTTATAACCTTGTTTGGTTACAACATTTATGAGTTCTATACTGTTGCAGGGGGAGGTCAGACTACTGCAACATGCCAGAAAACCTAAATTTACTTAAAGGTCTCTAAACCTAAGAGTGTATGAACATTTCTACTAATTACCAAGGAAAAAAATAAAAGGAAAAGCATAACAATTAGACATCCTTGATCATGCTTATGTAAAACAAATTAAAAGCAAAAAATAGAGGAGCAACAGATTTTTATTTTCCTACAACCATGCAAAATGAATTTTTATACATCAGAACTAAACCCAAAATCTCATCGAGGGTATGCACATTTCTATTGATTACCAAGGAAAAAAATAAAAGGAAAAGCAGACATAACAATTAGACATCCTTGATCATGCTTATGTAAAACAAATTAAAAGCAAAAAATATAGGAGCAACAGATTTTTATTTTCCTACAACCATGCAAAAGCTGAATTTTTATACATCAGAAAGTGCGGAACATAATAGTTTCTTGTAGTCCTAAACCCAGAATCTCATCAAACCATACAACAATTCAGTTAACAAATGAGAATTAGTTGGGAAGGAGAGACATAGTGAACAATCACTATTCAAATTACGTGGCTCATGATCCACCCATCAATAACATCTAATTAATTCTCAAACCACTCAGCTTAAGTTTGTCACTCAGACGCCTTTGACACTTTCTACATCACCAAAAGAAAAGCAAGAAGAAACGTCAGAAATTCACTGAAACATCAGAAACAACTGCTGCATGGAGAAGAAAGTATATCAATCAAAACAAAAACAAAAGAAGGCGGCTACAAAATGTTGTAAGCATAGGGATGCATGCATGTCTTAAACATTGGATCAATTACAAGCTCTGTTATTAGAATCGTACGATTCAATTCAATGGGTAATCAATACAAACAGGTCGTGTGAATCGCAAATAGCTATAAGTCGTAAATGAATCGGTGAACCGAATCAATAATCGTGAATCACTAAAATCAATATTTGACTTTCTTTTTTAATTTTTTATTGTTGTAAAAGGGTTCACACAACCTTTTTAAGGTCTTTAGGATTACTATATGCCATCTTTTGACTTTCTCCCTATTTACTCTCAAATACTCAAATCTTAGCCGAAAAAAATGAACTCTCTCCACAATATTATAAGCTTACATATTCAATTTTATACAAGTACTTGCATTTACAAAATAAATTTTTTAAATGAATCAAGTAAGATTTTAGAGAAAAAAAAAATTGAAGATTTTGGTTTTTTAACCTTGTAAAAAGTTAAAAAACATTGTTGTTGAGTTATTGTTACTTGAAAATTGAAAGTTTGTCTTTATTTGCTTTTTTTAATAAAAATGATTGATAAGAAATGGTATCTAAAAGGAAAAATGTGAAGTGGTAAATATGGGAACCCATGTTAACTTCTTACCTAGACCACATGATCATCATTTAAAATAATATTTTCATTGATTTAAGTCTAAATATTTCATATTTATTAGATACATTTAATACCTAAGTGTGTAGATATATTTTTCTATGTAATTTTAAAAAAAGGTGACCGAATCTTTGCAATTTACGATTTGATTCAATTCTCGATTTGGAACAATACCATTTCGATTCACGATTCAAATCCCAATTTGACAATTATGGTTACAAGCACAAGAAATTTGCCAAGAAGAAATTTGTGACATTAAAACTCATATTGCATTTACAAAAAATAAAAAAAGAAAGAAAGGGAATTATACCGGCAGTTAATGGAATCCAGCCCTGACTCCTAGTTCCAGCTAGGTATCTGCCATTAAAAGATGCAATTTATTCAATAATCAACTTTAGGTAAAGCCAATAGAAAATGACCAAATGTACTTCCAAAATGAAAATCCGTACAAGAAGAAAGTGGTATATCAAACTGAGTAAATTATTGGTAATATTATAAATATTAATTCGATGCAACTTGAGATGAGAATATTCCTTCGAGTATATATATTTGTATACCATAATGATATATATTCATATAACATGCCACCCAGATCACTCTGGAAGGAGGGTCTCCAAACTAGGCTAATAACCACCATCTGGTTTTAGTAATTCAATTGCCCAAATTAGTCAACATTTGGAAACATTAAGGCCTAGTTTGGGAAGACTAAATAAGTGCACTTTTTGACTTTTTATGAAATATGGGTTGGGTTTGGGTTGGGTTTGAAGTGATGTGTTAGAGAGGTGATGTGACTTAAATAAAATGATGTGACTTAAATAGGATAGTGACTTTTTGTCTTTTTTCAATCATGCCAAACTTGGCCATGAAACTACTACAACTGTTAACCACACAGAAAAACAGGGTTTTGCAGAGTAACCTTTAATTATACATTAGCATTCATGCAAATATGTTACTCCTGTGGATTCGTCTTCACTCCTTAGTCCCAGACTTCCAGTTAAGCATAATTGCAAGGAGACCTTTTCACAACTAATATTCCAAGATGCAAAATATCCTTAGTAAAATGGCACATTCAGTAAATAACAAGAAGTAGATTTGTATAGATTTGTATTTTTGAAAGAAATAAATAAGATTCATATTCGCAATTCAAGAACTCTTCAACACATAGAAAAAGAACTACATTAATTTCAACAATGGATACTCCCCACATCTCCATTCCCTCAAACTTCTACTTTGAACATGATGGTCACTCAACCTATACAACTGAAAGTACAAATTTTCTGAAAGATACCATGCCGTAACCTCGAGTCTAGAGTTTATCTCACTATGCAATTTGCAACAAAGTGAACTATACACAGTACTCTTATTTTGTGCTACAAGAAAAGGAGTCATTAATTCTTGAGGGCTGACTGATCAACAATCATATCTATGGGAGTGTCAAAGAAATATTAGACAAGGGATTAAAATTGTGAAATTTATCTTTAAGCAGTGCACATATCCAAGAGGTGTAGCAACATTCCCAGGAGTGCTTCAAAGTGAGTGTCTGAACTTATTGAACTATGCTGTACCTCGTGCATTTAAATGCTGTTGTTGATCTGATTGCTCAAGGAAAATACTGAACTAGCATCCTCATATTTTGGAAAGTACAGCCTATTAAATGCCTAAGTAATGGGTATCTCATATCCTAATCCATAACCACAAATGCAGAGTCCCTTAATATTCATCAACGCATAGCCTACCAACAATATGCTGCTCCTTACATGCATTACCAGCTAGTGATGCCTGAAATTTAAAATGCTACTGCCCTTCCATGCAAATACCTCATTCAACTTCACAAGTTACATCCTTGCATCAAATCATTGGACACACTAGCGATGGCAGGTTTAACCTTTCCATGATATTTAACCACTTAGGTTAGCCTTTCTCATAATGCTTCACCAATTAAGCTCAAAATTTAAATAGCCTGCTCTAGCCAACAAACATGCTAATTTTCAAGGTGCTATGAAAAAAATAATAAATAACAAATAAAAAACGAACCCTCATGTAATTGGTTATACATGGTTTATGTTTTCTGAAAACGTCTCTACTAATATGATGAATTGCAAAAAGAATTTTGGACCAAAAGACCAATAAGAGTGCTAAAACATGCAAAGTATGTGTATACACAACAAAGTTGACCCCGACTTCATTAAAATCATTAGACCATCATTCGCAGCCACATTATCCACGAACGAGGAGAAACATGTTCAAAATGAATTAGTTTTTAGAATAGGGGTATTTTAGTTAATTTCCTCTTAGGGCTCCTTGTTTGGTTGTGGGTCATTTAATTCTTATTTTTACTTTGGATTAGTTAAGTTGTTATAGAGTTTAAAAAGCCATGTTTCCTAGAAATTTTTATTCTCAATAATTTCTATGTTGTCTAGTTTTCATTTGGTTTGGTTTAGAAACTACTTATTTTGTTGAATTTTGAGTCTGTATGGTTTTTATATTGGATGGGACAACTTTTAGGATTTTTTTATTGTTTTTAGCGGTTTCTAGCCTCTATAAGGAGGGGCCTTTGCTATATTTCAAATTTAGAGTTGCTTAAAAAATATTAAAAAATCCTTGATTAAAGAATAGAGTGTTGAACTCTTCTCGCAATTCCAGAGTGAACCTCAAATAGCCCTTGTGGAGTAAAGTAATTATCTCTGTATTTATCTTTATTATTTGCTAAATTCTTGCCAATTTAAATCCGTTTGCATTACTTTGATATTCAAAATCTGAACCAAAAGCTTGCCATCCATAGATTTACAAACCCTATTCTTATTCTCACTAAACCCACCACTTTCCCTTGAAATGCAACACAACCCCAGAATACAAAAAATACTAGGTTGCCCCTGCGTCATTTTCACTACCTCAATACACTCTACGAACTTAGGTTATTCGATCCAATTGCTATTTGACAACACCTAGTTACTCTTTGCAGTATTGCAAATTTAACCGTGTTACTCATTGTACTCCTCTATGTCTAAACATTGAATAATCATATGCAGACTACATTGACTGGCGATGTTGTTAGTACCATCCCTCGTCTTAGAATCAATTCAACCAAACCAGCACAATTTGCACTATTTTCTCAATATAGAAATACACCTCACCACTATTTGGGCTGCCCTTCTCACTCAAACCTAATAGTCAGTAGAACTACAACAACTATCAAGATACAAGCACACAAACAACTACTAGACCTGACCTTCAAATTCTAGGCTTATTAAAATACTAACGTCATTTTTTAATTATCACTCATTGTAGGTGGTTGTCACCAACATTCCTCAATGACCAGGATTGATATTGCCTCTGACCAAGCCAGTCAAAGTCAAGCATGACACAACAACCAATTCCAAAATTATCAAGCACATTCTTCACTACTACAAAAAGATTTTCAGAGAAAAAAGCCACATCTCTATCACAAAAGTTTTAAGATCTAGGGAAATTCAATGCAAATTTACATAATAACAAGACAACAGATGCTCTGCATTGAGTATAAATGCAGGGCTTTCTTTCCTCTGCAATCTTCCCTTCCAGATCTTAGGAAAACAACAACCATAGGAAGAAAGGGCACAGCTTGCCTTAGTCTCTAAGCCACTACTAACTCGGGTCAATCTAAGATATTTTAAAGAATGTGTCTTTCTTTATTTACATCGAACACGCTAAATCACAATGAACTTAGCACCATAGATCTACAAGTACACACCAATCTAGATGCTCAATTCTGCTAAACAGTTATTTTTTTCAAGCTTCTATGTGTCATACATTTGATTTTGTTTATTGGTTCATGCACAGATCAATATGTGGATTTTCTTACTCAAGCAATATAGAATTCTAACATACATCAACACAAACTTCTCATATGAAAATGTCTAAAACATTCTCACAATGAACATATGATATCTTTCAGAACATACAATTATTATGAAATTATGTATAATGCACTAATCACCTTCGAATAAACAAAGCAACAACTTTTCTCTTAATAAACCTGTTATAGATAACATAAGAGGCAAAACTCCAAATCCCAATTGCCAATTGCAGCATTCAATCAAAGCAATTAAACAGCTCAATTTCATATTCAACCACTAAAAACAACCAAGCAAAGGGAAAAAAAAAAAAAAAACCCAAACCTTTCCGATCATCGGTAGCATCATGATACTCGGGCTCATCCTCATCCTCCGCGGCAGAAGCCACAGAAACCACAGGCTCAGCACCGTCATTCCCACCATCTTTCTCATCCGGATACCTAACAACCACCACGGGACAAACACAGTGCCTCACACAGTAATCGCTAACACTCCCAAGCCTCCCATTGTTCCCTCTCTTCGTCGCACCAAACCCTCGGCTCCCCATAATCACAGTACTCAACCCTAGCCTCTCAACCTCCAAACACAGCCTCTCCTTCATATCATGATCCTTCACAATATGGATCTTAAACGGTATCTGAGCCTCAACAATCGGCTGAGCTAGGTCAGAAATTTTGGTGTTCGTAAACATATCGAAATCGTCTTCGAGTTTCTGCTGAGACGCTTCGTTAGAGTTGTCGACGATGGAGAGATCGACGGAGCCCCAATCGGCGCCGTATAGAACGGAGGTAGGGCGGACGTGGAGGAGGATCACGGCGTCGCCGGGGCGGAGATAGTGATGGACGGCCCATTTGACGGCGAAGGCGCTCTCGTCGCTGAGATCGACGGCGATTCCGATGCGACGTTGGGCGCCGGCGGTGGGGGTGTTGGTGGCGGAGGGAGTGAAGCGTGGGGAGGAGGATTTGACTTTGATGGCGGCGAGGAGTGGGAGGTCGGAATCCGGCGGCGGCGACGGCGGCATGGTGGTGGTGGTGGTGGAGGAGAGAGAAAGTTTTTTTTTTTTTTTTTTTTGGGTGTTTGGGAGTTTGATCGTTGACAGTGGTGTGAGTTTTGGGGGGACTTTTCTTTGTTTTCTTTGATGGAGGACAGTAAAAAGTGACTGAGAAAATGAGGAATTTTTCCTTTTGTAGGCAAAGAAGAAGTGGTTTTATATTCCTTTTGTTTTCCTGGTTTGGGCTTTTTCTTTCTATGTGTGGAATGGGTTGAGGAAATTGGTGGATTGGATAAGAGGATTGTAAATTAAAGTAAAAGCCCATTATCTTTTGTGTTGTTTTCTATTTATTTTTTTGTTATTTACATGGAGACCTCATAAATTATTTTAAAATATTATTTGATCTCTTGAATTATAAAAAAATATATAAATGGATCTCCTAAACTATTGTAAAGTATCGTTTCACCCTCTAAATTATAAAATCAAACAAATAAACTCTCTGAACTATTGACGTGTTTTCTTTTGACCCCTTCATTAAGGAGTCCAATTGGTACATTTTATAATTTAGGGGAGGTCTATTCATAAGCTTTTACAGTTTAGGAGATCAAAGTGATACTTCTTAATAGTTAGGGGTCTATTTATTAAATTTTATAATTTAAGAGATCAAAATAATCTTTTTTAATAATTTAAGAGGTCTCTATGTAAATAACTTTTTTATTTTTTTTTCTCTCTTATACTAATGTTTATTTTAAAGAAGAAAATGGAAGGGTTGAATAAAACTTCTATAAATTATTGAATAAAGTTTCTTATCAATAGGGATATCAGGAAAATATTATGATTCAACAGTAATATCATAATTGGAAGCACACACGTGCTTTTTGTGCATGACTTTTATTTCGGTATGTTTAAATGTGAAGACAAAATTAAATAGTTAAAGGAAGAGAATAGAAGAAAAAAAATCTGCTAGTGTTACAATTGAGACATGAATTCTTAGGCTAAGTTTGGCATCTTTCAAAAAATTTAAAAAGTCAAAAAGTCACTATCCTATTTAAGTCACATCATCTCATTTAAGTCACCTCACCTCTCTAACACATCACTTCAAACCCAACCCAAATCCAACCCATATTTCATAAAAAGTCAAAAAGTACACTTATTTAGTCTTCCCAAACTTGGCCTTAGCCACCATCTCCTCTAACGAACATGCATAATTCCCCCAAACAAAGGCACCGAGGTGTTCAAGTACTTAGGCACACATGCTTTTCAGACTCTTGAGAGGATCTTCATTATCAAGGTACTTCGGATTGTAAGAATTATTAATTTCTTTTATAATCTAATTTTTTTGTTGATTTTTTTTTAGTGGTGCCTCATGAGGATTCAATTTTTAAGTGGTTTACTCTTAAAAGTTTGTATTAAATTTCATTATATACTAATCAAACCAACAATTTTCTAATTGGTCAGTGGATTTATTCATCTATCATCACATGTCAAACTCAGATTTAATTCTTATTGATCTTTCTGTTGTCCGAATCATACAATTAAATGAGTGTCACTATGAGGATTCAATTTTTAAGTGGTTTACTCTTAAAAGTTTGTATTAAGTTTCATTACATATTAATCAAACCAACAATTCATTAGTTGGTCAGTCGATATGTTCATCTATTCATCACATATGCAACTCAGATTTAACTCTTATTGATCTTTCTGTTGTCTGCACCATACAATTAAAGGAGTGTTACTATCCTAACTTTACATTTTTAAAGTGAGTCTAAAAGATTATGGTTTAGACCCGATTCTAGATTAAAATAATAATAACAATAATAATAATAATAATAGTCAAACCAACAAGATAATAATAATAATTGTCCACTTTAAAGATTGTTAAGACTGATTAACCAAATTAGTTGGGGCTAGGTAAATCTAGGGGTGGGCGCGGGTCGGTTGCGGCTACGGAACTCCCAATCCGCCATCCGTCTGCCAGATTGGCGGATTGGAGAAAATCAATCCGCATCCGTCCGCCAATCTAGCGGATGTGGATTGAGCGGATTGGCGGTTTGGCGGATGGATGCAAATCGGTTTGGCGGTTTGAAATTTTATAAATTTTTAACATAGTTCAACTTGTGCACTTCCTCAAAAAAAAAAAAAAGTATTACAGTCAATAACTTAAAAAAGTATTACAGTTACTGCATGCCTCATCCAAAGAAAGAAAGTTTGAAACTTTAGATTATCACAATCACTGCATGCCTCATCCACATATTACAATCACAGCATGCCTCATCTACATATTACAATCACAGCATGCCTCATCCACATAAAGTATTACAATCTATGGTTCTTAAAATATAAAAACAATTCAAACCACCAAAACCATGAATGTCTCTGTATTATTACATTTATATATATTTTTGAAAACAAAAATCAACCAGCATATATCATATTTTCTGTTTATTACTTTTAGAGTTAGATTTAAAAATCAAAAAATATAGATAAATAATACGTTTATTTTTTTCAATTCAAAAAATATATTCAAGTTGAAAAAAAAATTTCAACAAAATATTTGAACTCTTTTTCAATTGAAAACACAAACAAAATATTTAAACAAATTGAAAACACAAAGTCTTATAAATTACTAAGGATGCTCGCGGTTTGGCGGTTCGGTTGCGGCCAAAGGAACTTCAAATCCGCCATCCGCCCACCAAATTGGTGGATTGGAGAAAATCAATCTGCAACCGCCCGCTCGTTATCACACATCCGTTCAAAATGCGATGGATCGATTCGATTCGGTGGATTTTGACGGATCGATATATCCGCTGCTCACCCTAGGTAAATCATGTGCTGACCCACAACCTTTACTTCAAAAGTGAGGCTTGGGCTTTGCAAGAAGACCATATGATATGAAGCCTATTTTTCAATATTGGATTAATATATATTAAATAATATTACTGTGGAAAAACTGCCATAACAAGTGGACGTGCCGGAGTGGTTATCGGGCATGACTAGAAATCATGTGGGCTCTGCCCGCGCAGGTTCGAATCCTGCCGTCCACGCCTTTTTTTTTTAATTTTACTTTTTCCAAAAATGTTACAATCATTAATAAATTAAAAATTTTAAACATATAAATTTTTATAAATAAAAATGATATAGAATAATATGGTAATCACATTTTTTTTATTTTACTTTTTTCAAAAATGTTACAATCATTAATAAATTAAAAATTTTAAACATATAAATTTTTGTAAATAAAAATTATATAGAATAATATGGTAATCACATTTTCATTAACAAAAAAACAAAAAGATTTACGCATATATTCTAAGACTTAGGGATGGTTTGGGATGATCTAAATAAGTGTACTTTTTGACTTTTCATGAAATATGAGTTGGGTTTAACGTGATGTGTTAGAGGGGTGATGTAACTTAAATAAGATAGTGACTTTTTAACTTTTTAACTTTTTGACTTTTTTAGATCATGCCAAATAAGACCTAAGACTTTAATTTTATAGCCTAGTTTGGGAAGTTGGCTAAAGTAAGCTAAAATTTTTGTGTTTAGAAAAACGGTTGGATTTTTTATAGTTAGATGTGATGTTTGTGAGAAAAAAAATAAAGGGAAAATTGGTCTAGGATCCCTCCCCCACTTTTCGTAATGGAAGAAATCCACAAAAATATTTTTTGATGTCTAAGGTCCCTAAACATATATCAGAGAAATTTGACTCTTCTTACTCTCTACTCTCTCTCTCTCTCCCCTACATCAAACAGTGCTTCGTCTATCTCCCTCTCTCCTACATCAAACCCGTGCTTCATCTTTGCCGAACAGCACTCACCACCTCTTGAAACGCCGCCACGCTACAAGGAACCACCAACCCATCTCTCTGTTCGAACCCAAACTCATCATAAACTTTCTCTAACAGCATCTTGAATAGAGGATAAGAGAGAAACCCTGTCGGCACCACGAACCGCCGTCTCTCCTTCCCCACGTAGACTGCAAAATGCCCAGTTGGTGTCCTCGGCGACGCCGTCTGCGGCGGTCGAACAGCGAAAATATTAGATGTAAATCGAGAATTTCGTCAGCCGAACAGCTAAACATATATCATCGAAGACGATGAGATGGGATCGAATGGTTTGAAGCAGCTCTGGCCAGTGGTTGCAGGGTCGACAGAAGTCACTGTTAAGGAGTTTCTACTGCTTACATCCGTGACAGCTACTTTGGGGCTAAGTTCCTCAGACCTATCGGTTGATATCGATGGAACTAATTCCATTACTGAACTACCCAAACTAGTGCCTTGCTCCTGACTGGCATCTTCTAAATCAGTCGGTGCCAATGATGAAACGATGGGTGTTTCAGCCAATCCAACATTGTGAACAGCTAAATCCAGACCAGGTATCTCACTCCCTAGATTCCCAGCATCTGGGACTTCAGGTGGAAGAGCTGAAAAACCATCCTCCATTGAAGATGGAACTTCATCAGGAGAAGAAACTGGTAAAGATACCAATCCTTGTTGAAGCTAGTCCATGCATATGTATATATTTTTCAAATTCGACACTGCAGAGAGAGAGAGAGAGTTGATCAAAAGCTTGCTGCCATGGTTGTGCATGGTGTTGAGGTTGGTTTTGAACTGAATTTTCTTTGGGTTGAAACCAGAGAAATTTTCTGATTTTTTAACTGAATTTTCTCTGGGTTGAAACCAGAGAAATTCTGTGGTTTTTGAACTGAATTTTCTTTGGTTTTTGAACTGAATTTTCTCTGGATTGGTCCAGAGAAATTCTTTGGTTTCGAGCTGGAACCTGGAATGCTTAATTTGTATAAAACCCAATGTTTGTGAAACCACATATGTTTATGTACACATGCAGTTGATGCAAGGTATGGAAGAGTTAAACACTTTTAAAATAGAACAAATTCATAAGATAGGTTATCTGGAGCAGATAAAATTTCATCTGCAGGAGCTGGTCAGGCCTCTGCTTTGAACTGAAATTTCTCTGATTTGGATTGAAATTTTCTCTAGATTGGTCCCTGATATTAAGATTTTTCAGCATTGAGTTTGTCATTTATCTTATTTCCATCGTCAACCTCTATGTCATGTTGCATCTCCAAA